CTCAACAACCGCAACAGCATGTATTTGGTTAATTAATAGAATGACCAATTGATCGGAGGGAATTATACATTTATCCAAACAGTCTGATTCAGAACCGATGGCTCCGTAACTTTGCATTTTTAGGATTTGTCTTGCCTTTCTCACATTATAATTTTCTTCTTCATTAACTGATGTTTCATCTTCACTGTAATCGTATACATAATCGTAGTCTTCATCGTAATTACCAGAAGTGGATTGTCCGAGACCACACCAAATATCACCGACACCTGGAGTTCGTCTTATTTCATCTACATCTGACCAACTTTCGATGGATATAGGATGAATATTTGCAAAAGACTCATCAGTTTCATCTTGTAAATTCAGATCTTGGTTTTGTTGGCACAGAAGACTGGACCATATAGTAATTAAACTGTTGCCAACTTGATCTCGGGACTGCTGCAACTGTCGAGCTAAGTAAAGCATTCCGACAGGTGCACCCAGCAAAATAATGCATAATTTTCCGAGAGAATTTACTAGTTCATGGAATCTTGAACAAGCTCGTATACGTTGAGAGGATAATAAAACAGTAATTGCAGAAAAAAGACGATACGACGTTAGATATCGAAAAGAAAAAGTAGTAGGATAATCTTGATTAATTTCATCACTCGCATTTAGGGCTAGATGATACAGAGCTGCTTTTGATATTATTTGTAGGCAATCAATAACTTGTTCAATTATTAATTCAACATCATCTTGTTCTTGTTCTTGTGGATTCTCGTCCACTAGCATAGAGTTAACATCATGTTGAGTACTATCACTTGCTACTTCATTTTTCTCAATATAACTTTTCCTACGGATTGATTCGTGTCGCAATTCATTGCCCGCCATTTGTTGAATTAGCGTACAGGCCTCGTAAACAGATACCTTCTTCACAATTGCTTGAAGTAAATGCAAGGTCCGCGAAGATAACCTTTTGACCTGGAGCATTGGTAAGATATAAGTTTTGTATAATGTATCATAACCGCGATTTTTATCACAACACCCAAGAAGGCTTTCTACA